CCGACATCCCACACAAAGGCAATGTAGCGTGTGATCGTGCAATAGCATGTGTTGCGATAGCGTGTGATTCGTAGCAATAGTCCAACTGATAATTCGTGTCTGTGCCCTGTTGGTTGTTTTGACTGAGACAAGCGTGGCCGTAGCTGAAAAATTCTATCGGGTTTGGTTTTATGAATTATCAGATCTAAGAGTTGTCATATTGGTTTGACGGGCTTATAAATGCGAGAAACCTTCGGGAGAAAACAAATTAATAGACATAGGTTGATAGATAAACACTAACACGCAGCGATATTATCTATATGAACTCCTTCAATGCCCGTCGTGTGCTCCCTTTCTGCATGGCACTCTTCGGTCTTCGTTTTGAATATTCGTCCAATATTTGAAGCAGTTTCTTCCGAGCCTCCTAAGAGCCACTTTCCTCTTAGCATATAATTATTATCATAGCTTTTTTCTTTGAAGGTTCGAGCACTTGCGGCCAAGATCAGTGAAGTAGTCCACTCCTTCCAAAGTAATTTCCGCTATTATGTATAGGGGAACAAATTTACCAGGCATTATCTGTGCAAGGCACTATTGATTTTCCTGATGCCCAATGTCCCCTTTGCAAAAAGACAAAAAAGCTTTCGATATGCATGATAATATCTATATATTGTCTTTCGTATAATTATTTGGATGACTTCTCGGCTCTCATTATGGAAGGCTCTGTGCTGTCTAATCTATATTCTAGCCATATTTAATTTTATGCATGTACATACGTTTCGAATTCAATATTGGTACCATTAATTCACACTTTGATCATCTCTCAACCTCTGAGTTTGTGACCAGCTATATGATTATATATTACGACTATTCATCCACGGAAATGCTAAGACTGTAGTTATGCCTCCAGAATAAGACCAGATTTATCTGGCTTTCGATATGCATGATAATATCTATATATTGTCTTTATTTCGTATAATTATTTGGATGACTTCTCGGCCGGAACGGCTCAAAAGGTATGGTTTTACCCAGGCATTTGCGGATTAAACTCTCCACAATGATAGTTAGTTAAAGACAATCTATAGGAGTTAAAATATAAAGCAGGATTATAACAGCTTTAATAAGTTTTAATTAAACTACTGTGAAAAATAACGAGGTCATATAGTGCAAATTAATATAACTTTATCGAATTCATATATTATATAATTATATGTCTTCGATAATGTGTATTCGGGTTCCAGTTTTATTGGGACACCCTGTATAACGTTGTTTAAAACCAATTAAAAAACCTTCAATGTTCAAACAAGAAGTTAATTCTGCCAGCATGCAATATGCGAAAAAACTAGGCAATAATAAATTAATATTCGGCTGTTATATTATCATGACGAGAATGCACGGAAATCATGCTAGCTTTAGTAAATCTATCCTTTGCTTTGAACTATAGGTTTTTTGTTAACCTATGCACTTTTGCGTTCTCTTGCTCAGATATTCATGGTGATATATGTGGTGAAAAAGTGAATCAGCTGTATAAATAGGTAATGAAATTTTGCTGTATAAGTATAACTGGAATTGATTATTTTTTATTCGCAAGTGCATGTGTACTTAATTTGGAGCTAAAAACGAAAAAACCACACAAACTGTGGAGTAAGACGTTATACCTTGCCCCAGATTTCCTGACAAAAACGTTGTGTGAGGTTGTGAACTTGTTCATAGCATTGGTAGTAATTCATATTCATGGTCCCTGCATGTTTGCTTAACAGAATGCATGAGTTTCCTAAACAGAATAGCGAAGTGAAGCGAACGACTTATCGGTACTTATCGGTTCGAGCCTCCCAATTAAGAGCCATTTTCCTCTTAGCATATATAACAATATATATATATATATTTATATAATCATAGCTTTTTTCTTTGAATGTTCCCGAGCACTTGCGCACACCAGTCAAGTAGTCCACTCCTTCCAAAGTAATTTCCGCTATTTTGTATAAGGGAACAAATTTACGTGGCATTATCTGTGCAAGGCGCTATTGATTTTCCTGATTCCCATAGGTCCCCTTCGCAAAAAGACAAACTGAATGCCTTGAATTCGTTTTTTTGATACACATGCATGCGGTGTGCGCGATTCTCTTCTTTCATAAAGATCTTTATATAATGTTGTGGAAGGCTCTCTGCAGTCCAATCTATATTCCTGCCATATTTAATTTTATGTACATACATTTCGAAGTCAATATATTTTATATACCATTCACAGTATGATCGTCTCTCAACCTCTGACTTTGTGACCAGCATTATATATTACGACTATTCATCCACAGAATTGCTAAGACTGTAGTTCATACCTGCAGAATAAGACCAGATTTATCTGGCTTTCGTTATGCATTAATATCTATTGTCCTTCGTATAATTATTTGGATGACTTCTCGGCCGGAACGACTCAATAGGTATGGCTTACCCAACTGCATCCGGATTAAATACTCTACAATAGTAGTTATTATTACAGACGCTCTATAGGAGTTAACTTATATATAAAGCAGGTTTGTAATAGCTTTGATAAGTTTTAAACTACTGTGAAAAATAACGAGGTCATATAGTGCGAATATAACTTTATCGAATATATATTATTATGAATAATTATATGTATCCGACAATGTGTATTCGGTTTCCGGTTTTATTGGGACACCCTTTATAACATTGCGTTTAAAACCAAGTTAATTCTGAAGCTTGCAATATATGAAAAATCTAGGCAATAATTAATATTCGGCTGTTATATATAATTATAACGAGACTGCACGGAAATCGTGTAGCTTTAGTAAATCTATCCTTTTTTTTTGAACTATAGGTTTTTAGTTAACCTATGCACTTTTGCGTTCTCTTGCTCAGATATTCATGGTGATATATGTGGTGAAAAAGTGAATCAGCTGTATAAATAGGTAATGAAATTTTGCTGTATAAGTATAAATGGAATTGATTATTTTTTATTCGCAAGTGCATGTGTACTTAATTTGGAGCTAAAAACGAAAAAACCACACAAACTGTGGAGTAAGACGTTATACCTTGCCCCAGATTTCCTGACAAAAACGTTGTGTGAGGTTGTGAACTTGTTCATAGCATTGGTAGTAATTCATATTCATGGTCCCTGCATGTTTGCTTAACAGAATGCATGAGTTTCCTAAACAGAATAGCGAAGTGAAGCGAACGACTTATCGGTACTTATCGGTTCGAGCCTCCCAATTAAGAGCCATTTTCCTCTTAGCATATATAACAATATATATATATTTATATAATCATAGCTTTTTTCTTTGAATGTTCCCGAGCACTTGCGCACACCAGTCAAGTAGTCCACTCCTTCCAAAGTAATTTCCGCTATTTTGTATAAGGGAACAAATTTACGTGGCATTATCTGTGCAAGGCGCTATTGATTTTCCTGATTCCCATAGGTCCCCTTCGCAAAAAGACAAACTGAATGCCTTGAATTCGTTTTTTTGATACACATGCATGCGGTGTGCGCGATTCTCTTCTTTCATAAAGATCTTTATATAATGTTGTGGAAGGCTCTCTGCAGTCCAATCTATATTCCTGCCATATTTAATTTTATGTACATACATTTCGAAGTCAATATATTTTATATACCATTCACAGTATGATCGTCTCTCAACCTCTGACTTTGTGACCAGCATTATATATTACGACTATTCATCCACAGAATTGCTAAGACTGTAGTTCATACCTGCAGAATAAGACCAGATTTATCTGGCTTTCGTTATGCATGATAATATCTATTGTCCTTCGTATAATTATTTGGATGACTTCTCGGCCGGAACGACTCAATAGGTATGGCTTACCCAACTGCATCCGGATTAAATACTCTACAATAGTAGTTATTATTACAGACGCTCTATAGGAGTTAACTTATATATAAAGCAGGTTTGTAATAGCTTTGATAAGTTTTAAACTACTGTGAAAAATAACGAGGTCATATAGTGCGAATATAACTTTATCGAATATATATTATTATGAATAATTATATGTATCCGACAATGTGTATTCGGTTTCCGGTTTTATTGGGACACCCTTTATAACATTGCGTTTAAAACCAAGTTAATTCTGAAGCTTGCAATATATGAAAAATCTAGGCAATAATTAATATTCGGCTGTTATATATAATTATAACGAGACTGCACGGAAATCGTGTAGCTTTAGTAAATCTATCCTTTTTTTTTGAACTATAGGTTTTTAGTTAACCCATGCACTTTGGCGTTGTCTTGCTCAGATATTCATGGTGATATATGTGGCGAAAAAGTCACTCAGCGCTATAAATAGGTAATAAAATTTGCTGTATATATGTATGGCTGGAGTTGGTTATTTAACAATCGGAAGTGCATGTGTATTTTATTTGGTGCTAAAAACGACAAAATCACACAATTAATTGTGGAGTCAGGTATTATACCTGGCCCCAGATTCTGACAATTGCATTGGTAATTCATATTCATGGTCTCTGTTTCGTTAACAGAATGCAGGAGTTTCCTAATTCCTCACAAAATAGCGAAGTGAAGCGAACGACTTATGTTTTTTATTGCATGTGGACTGTTGCATGGATTCCGAACGGTTCTAATTTCCTATAATGCAAACAGAACAGAGTTACAGTAAAGACGAACATTATAGATACAACGGCAACGCGACAAAATAGTTTAAACAAAATTTTATGATAGCTCACGTCTGCACAAGATTTTCCCTGCGGAATACGACAAGCCTCGCCGTGGGTAAAAATTTGATCAGGTTTCATTGGAAAACATGCTGATGTAAGTGATACGAGGTTTAAGAATACAAGTGGTTACTGTCTTTAGGAGACAAAAACAGGAAACGTAAAAACTCTCATGATCAAGGAGCGATTCTTTTGTCGACTTACGTCGCGTTTGAATGCTCTGCTCGCCATGCATGCATGCATGATAATGCAATCTCGTTCTTGTTATTGTTGTTTATAAAAAGGCTTGCGACATCGTGAGTTGATATCATTTATCACAGAATAGAGCCAAAGAAACAGCACCAGAAGAAAATTGTGAAGGAAGAACGATCGGTTAAAAGCTCGTTGAAACGAAGATAATCCCCTGAAAGTAAGTACTAAAAGATTCACGTATTTCGAATTTGCACATTAGTTTGCATGAAATATTTTAAAATAAATTTTACGTTAGATTGCTTTCATTACCAGAAATTTGCGACATGATAATTTGCATTTATACTAATTTGCATTTAACTTTCAGCATAATGCATGGCCTTCGATCAACTTTTACTATAAAATACATATAGTAAATATACAAAACCTAAAAATGCGGTTGCCCTAGACCTTGCCTGCTGTTTGCCGACCTCTGGGTTAATAGAACAGCCGTTTCCCAACGTTATAATGATCGAATTACTTACCTTAGGTATTTCTACGTTCGACCAACTGATTGTGAACAAATGTGTATATAGCCTTCGTATTGTTCAAGTTCAATATATATATTAATATATATATATAATATATATATATATAATATAGAGTAACATTGTTTAGTTATCTTTTCAAATTAACCAAATGTAGATTTAAAACCTAAAAATGAAGAAAACGTTGGTTACTGTGGTCATTTTGGCACTTTCTGTCGCTTTGGGCAGCAGTTTTACAGCAGGAAATTTTTTTCACCGGTCAAAGAAAGGTAGAAGATAATTCGGATTTTGTATGGACAGATTAAAATCAATAACTAGTATCATTGCGGAGTTTGGGCATGCAATTTTAAAATTGAAAAGATTATATATATATATATATATATATATATATATATATATATAATATATATATATTATATATTTATATATATATATACACCCATTTGCAAAAATGTTGGCCGCAGATAGATAGAGATAGATAGATACTCGAAGTCTAATTTGAATTGCATATATATATATATATATATATATATATATATATATATATATATATATATATATATATATATTATTTGGATGCTGGTCAAATTAAGGTCCTTCCCTACCCAGGAGCCTTAATTAGTAGCAAGTTACCATTGTAATGGAATTAGTTCTTCCGGCTTGTGACAGCATGTCTCCGTCTAATTATATACTAGCTAAATATAATGCCAATTATTATATACACAAAGATTATATATATATATATATATTAATATATATATATATATATTATATATATATATATATTATATATACACCCATTTGCAAAAATGTTGGCCGCAGATAAATAGAGATAGATAGATACTCGAAGTCTAATTTGAATTGCATATATATATATATATATATATATATATATATATATATATATATATATATGTATATATATATATATATATATTATTTGGATGCTGGTTAAATTTAGGTCCTTCCCTACCCAAGAGCCTTAATTAGTAGCAAGTTACCATTGTAATGGAATTAGTTCTTCCGGCTTGTGACAGCATGTCTCCGTCTAATTATATACTAGCTAAATATAATGCCAATTATTATATACACAAGCGCCAGATATGAGGTATGCTGCAATTTCATTGGCTTATTAGCTCATATCTGTCTAGTGGAGAAAGTAAACAAAATGGTTGAAAGATTTGGGGAGTTGAGTGAAATAGAAATCCAAGCTTTAGTTGACAATAGCACACGAAAATGCACCGAAAGGGCGACAAAGCTTGTGTATATAATAAACGACTCGAGTTCGCAGAATAACTGTTAAATATTGCCCGGTGATATGTTGAAAAACTGTTGAAAAACAAGAAAAGAATGTATATTTTAATACCTAATTATCTTTTTTTTTATATTTTCACACACCTTTTGAACATGCAACATGCAGCTGACGTGGTAAGTACACATTACTACGTTACTGCGTGATTGATTGTGATATTAAACATGAATGTGATCACGCCTATAGAACGATGAACGAAACAATAATGAAAGTGCATAATTTTTTTATAACAGTAATAGTCTTTTAGTAGTTCAGATAAATGTTGAGGATATAGTGCCATCAACATGCGACATGCGTAATCCGAACCCGAGAGGAAGGAATCTTCTGAAATTTTAAGTCTTTAAGTCATTATAAATACTCTTTTCTTTTAAAACTGATTGTTTTCGCAAGCAACGAACACTAAAATATTACCATAGCTCGATTAAATTGTGAGCTATATTACTGGTTTTAACTTAGATATCACATTAAAAAAAACAACAGCATGCATTGCCTCCCCTTTAGTGGTGAAGAAAAAGAGCCCAATGCTAACTACATGGAAAATTACAATGAAACTGTATCAAAAAATTCATCAAAGAATATACCTGCAGGGAAAATACTTATAATTATTTCTTTTTTTTTTGAAAAAAATTTATATATATATATCCGTTTTCAGACAATCGCAGTTACTGTTAACCTTGTCTTCACTAATTACACGGATCCAAATCACGTCCCTCCAGTGGAGGTCACCGTTCTTCCTGGGAGCAACGCTTTTGCAATACTAAAGAAAGCTTCCTTGCAAAATGATTGCTACAGCTTCCAATATGCATATTACCCTGGACTTGGAGACTATATCACATCCATATGTGATCTTGGAAACGACGCATCGACTGGATACAATTGGTTCATTTATTTAAATAATATTCCATCCAATGTTGGAGTTGATTGTGTTATACCGGATAATTACGACGTTCTTACATTCAAATACGAGACGTATAGCTCTGGACATGAGTAACTTTGTGGTTTACGTGTAATTCTCGCACCTAAATAGATGTATATATACTTTGATCAGTACTATAGTGATAAATGAATAAATAAGTGGGTTTAAATTGCTTTTCATTGTAAAGATCGACTGCTGAGCGTCGCTATCGTGCGACGTATAATTAAAAATTACAATATACAATTTCAAACACGAGTAAAGGCCCTGTTATATTTTGCAATTTTCCCTGCAACTTGCAATGCAATTTATCTCTTGTCTTTTGAGATGTAATTTGGCAACTACCAAACTTTTATCTTTATTACACTCCATGCCGTATCTTACACTTACATTTTGAAGACTCTTTACTAATTTTCATCTCTTAAAAGTAGAATTTCATTGCAAGTTGCAAGAAAAATTCCACATCAGTGGCCTTCGCAACGCATGTTGGGTCGTTTAGAAAATTATAAAGTTTGAATTTTAAATGACGTGTTCAAAGTTTCATCACCTTTTTACATCGCAGTAAATTTATTTATACAAGTATGTTTATTTACACGTTATTTTCTACCAGCGCATGCGTAGACAAATGACCCGGCCCTCTGTTATAAAACGCTATTTAGCCTATTTCTCTCATCGTTTTGCACATCCTACCCCTCATAATTACTCGGAATTATAACAGAATGATAATATGAAAATTCAGAAATGTAAAGACAACAGAGAACAAAAAAAGCGAAAAAATACGGAAGTTCTAAAGTATATGGTTGCTATATGGGTGAATAATTTGGGATAACAAAGCAACCTATATCATTTTGACTCTTATTTTGACTTTAAGACAAATGCAGCTTATAACTATCTGCTGGTTTGAATATACTATTTGAAAAATCTTCTCACGCGCTATCGTTTGGTGGTATTCCGGGGTCTTTAGCCCAAATAATTGCAGAGATATTTAAGTTTTGCTTCCCCCGACAATATATATATTTTCTGGATTCATTGATGCCGGATGGGAGTACGCACTTTGGCGTGGTCTTGCTCAGGGGCAGGTGTCCAAGGAAATTTGGCCCCCCTTTTGAAAATTATTTGGCCCCCTGGAAAACATATACGTTATAGTTTATAGTTTTTATCTCGGCGAAGAGCTAAGACGAAAATTGTTAACGTGCACGTGGCTAACATCTAGGGTTATCATCATTTAATTTCCTAAATCAACCTTTCCTATTTTGTATAAAAGCTAAGCCTATAATTTATAAGGTCACCAAATTAAAAATTTCTGGGGAGGAAAATTAAGTAATGCGCAGTTCGGAAATTTGGTCCCCCTCGGTAACGTAGCTACTTTATATATAATCTCATTATTATATTATTATATATCACTATTATATATAACGTACTTTATATATAATCTGAATACATGTATATACATATATGCTTTCAAGGCATGATTCTCAATCAGAAGGAAGCATGTCCAAACAATTTTGTACGGGGAATATTTGAAATTTAGTCTGTCAGGTACCAATTTTTGGCACCTTTTGGGCAGCAATTTTTCTTATTAGCTATATAAATTCCTATTTGCCTGGGTTGGTGGCCCATAAATGAAAGCACAGATTTCTGTTAAATGCCACAGCCCAGTTACATAATTATAAAATTTCAAAGGCAAGGAGTTTTTCTAAAGAGGGTTGAGGAATTTAGACTCAAATTTATAAATATATATATATATATATATATATATATATATATATATATATATATATATATATATATATATATATATTATTACGCTATTTACAGTTTTATCAGTTTATTAAGAGTTCAAGCCATATACCGTTCTCTTTTATAATGCAGTCCATCTAATTACAAATGCTATATATCAATATATATATATATATATATATATATATATATATATATTATTATTATATATATATTATATATATATATATATATATATATATATATATATTTATATATATATTATATACACCCATTTGCAAAAACGTTGGCCGCAGATAGATAGATAGATAGATACTCGAAGTCTAATTAGAATTGCATATGATTACATTTGCATGGGATTTCAATCATATTACACAACATATGCAATTCTAATTAGATTTCGGGTATCTATCTATATATCTATCTGCGGCCAACGTTTTTGCAAACGGGTGTATATATATGTATATATATATATATATATATATATATATATATATATATATATATATATATATATATATATATATATATATGTATATGTATATAATGTATATCGCAGATACTGGGCTGTGGCATTTAACAGAAATCCGTGCTTTCATAAACCGTTGTAATAAACTTGTAAATAGTCTGTCACGAAGGTCGCAGGGAGCGGCCGAAAATTTAGTCTTTTAATCTTTTAATAAATTTTAGACCAGATACAAACCTGTTTCTTACTTTATCATGTCTTTCACTGGTCGCCCTTGTAGTATTTATAAACTAACTAGAAATGCATGCATGCATTAACCCCTCACCGGCTCTTAATGCCATAACATCATTTCCAAAAATCGGGGAAAAAAATTAATTCAAAAAAAATATAAATACAAACTATGTAACAAATTTACAATAATACAACATTTACAGAATAATAAAATAATTTACATATTAATTTAAAACAATTTTAACAATTTAATCAATAACAATAGCCCCGTTTACACTACAGTGAATTTATCGGCACGGCACGGCTAAAATTGGCACCTGTGCCAAATGTCACTAGTGTTCAGGCTACGAAAGCAAAGGCCGAGCATAGATGAAATGGGCACCCATTTTTGGGCAACCATATGTTGTTTGTGAACCAGTGACCTAACAACTGACTTTACATTACGTGACAAATCATCAACCTCGTACCCAGGGTAATTTCGCTGTGTTATAGGGAGAGACCGCAGCGTGGTCCGATGAGCGGAGGTAAAAAGACCCTGGGTACGAGGTTGACAAATCATAAGGTACTGTACATACGTGTTTGGCACGTCGCTGCCCTGTGGCCATGCAGGCCACATTTGTAACACCGCCCTAATATCAAGAAATGATATCAAGAAATAATTGGTTTCCAGGCTACCAAAAATCTTCAGTTAACTGCATGACCATTATCAATTAAACTTTACTAACATCTCATATGTCCAAGTAACACTAAAAAGACAAAATGCCATACTGAGCATTCTCACAATGTAATATTTCTTGAGTAGCATCAAATGAGAAAAACCGGAAACAATTGTTGTGGATATAATGAATCATACAGTACCTGTGCCTGCCCCTCGAAACCCAGGGCGAACAAATTTCATTCCGTCGTACAAATTAATTCCCAATTTCATTCTGTCTTGCCAGTTCTTTGCCAGCCGAGCCTGTCTTTTTTCCAGTGTTTCACCAACTAAGAGAGCTCGTCTTTTTTCCCTCTGCACGCCTATCCTCATACGTTACTCCCTTCCTTGTCGTCTCCTGTTTTCTAATGCGGTTATTGTCCGACATTTCCGTGGAAATTGTCTTTCAGTGTTTTTTTTTTGTCAAATATAAACTAATTGTTCACAATACTGTAAAAGGTTTTTGTAATTTGCTTTTGTGAAAGAAATAACATTCAAATTATAACGACAGTCAATTTACTCACGTATTTTTCTTAAAAAAATTTAGGCCTTAGCCAATCATAAGCTGGTTAGTTACCAGTTCAAACTCGTCTTAAACTCACGCATGCGCATAACTTACAAAAACGCCCAACGTCCATGACATAATGGCGGACAACTTTCATTTCGCATTTGCATTCCCGGGCGTAATTCCTAATCTCCGGGCGGAATTAGAACCCTCCCCCGGTGCTTCGCACCAGCTCGGGGATTAGAAACACCTATGATGATGAAGCATTATATTTGGGAAAGAAATTAGAACGGATTTCACTGTCGCAGGTTAGACACACTGAACATCTACATAATCTGCATCGATGTAAGGAGAAACGATTATTACCACGTTTCCTATTATCACGGCCACCGTTGGGGGATTGCTAGAAGAGTTGGCTGGGCGTATTTGCAGTTGTTAACTAGAAATACATGCATGCAAAGCCCCCTCGCCTGATGCAATAAACATATATTTCCATCGCTGAAATTTTATATATAATACTCGTTTCTGCTGAATGATCGAAGTCGCAAAGGAAAGTCCTATATCTTGGTACAATAATAAAGTCGACTCTCGAGCTATCAAATTCGACTGTAATCATAATTGTGCTACGAATTGTATTAAAAATAATACAGTTTTAGCGAAATTTCAATTGCTTTTTAAAGAGATTATTTTAACAAAATCAACAAAAATTTCAAAGATTTTGTACAAATATTATATATCGATTCAATTACAAATTCTCATTACATCGCTTCGCTTGTCAAGTTCGGCGGGAAAATTCCCGTGTTTCTATACAGTTATAGAAACACGCTTCTGGACCAATCAGCACGCGCGTACTATAAATGTCATATTAAATCGAAAAGCAGGTCAGCACAGACTTTTATATAGTCTTATCCCGCGCGATATTAGAGCGGTGCATGTTCACACCACATAAACGTTATAAAGGAGAGACACACGAACAGAAATTTAAACAGTGAGCGGTTCATAACGAGGAAAGCATTAAGAAGAAATGGGTAGAAAATGTTTCCCAGAGGAAGCTGAACAGTGATGAAATAAGCCTGCTTAATTCGAAAGGGTTTGAATTTTGCTATAATACCTAGGAATATCCCAGCAAAGGAAATACTTGCTTCCGTAGAAGAGGGGATCAATAATCTAACAGAGAACGATAAAGAAAGTATTCGAGGGGAAATCTACGGAATACTGAAATGCGCGAGGCTACCAACTAAACAAAACCTAACAGACAGGGAAAGACAAGCAATGAAGGATCGTAAAAATGACAAAGCAATCATGCAAGGAAGTGTATCGTAATTATAAAGGAAATGCTACCGTGGTTATGGACCGGACTACGTACCATGAGATGCGAGAAATGTTACAAGATCAAGAAGTCTACAAAAAAAATCACAGACAAAAGACGCAACCCGACTACCAAGGTAGAATCAGACCTACAAAAAAATGCTATTAAAACTACGATAGACACTTTGAAGTTAATTATTGAGTCATTGGTGTTAAGCGAATTATTTTGCATGTTCGTCAGTATGGACCAATACATC